ATAGTGCCCGTCCGCGGAAAATACCCGGATGGATAGTACTCGTCCGTGAAACTTTTTCTGTAAACAAGCGGGTTTATAGAAAATAAACAATTTAAATTGCATTAAGTGGGTTTTTCTGGCTTTCATCTGAAAAACTTGAAAATAATCAATATGATTTTTGAACTAGCGCGCGGAGGAAAATTTAGTGGTGAACAATAAAGACAATAGAGTGTTTATGTCTCGGAACTATCGGTTTGATAGTTGCCCCCTGGAAATCTGATGTTCTTAAACTAGCATATTTGCCCTAGAGGCTTCGCTTCTCGGGCAAATATTTGTTTTAAGAACATCAAATTTCCGCGGGGCAACTATCAGACCGATAGTTCCGAGACATAACTATTCGTACTATTCGCTATTCAGTCGCTATTCGGGACTATTCGCTTTTCGCTATTCGCGACTATTCGCTATTCGCTATTCGGGTTTTCCAGACACCCATTTTGTTTGGCTTCGACAAGAAAGCAAAATCCTCGTGGTACAAAAGAGCCTTCTTTCAACGTATTGCCACCTGGATTAACGTAACAAGTATAAATTTAGCGTCGTGCGTTTTTAATCTTTTAAATTTTAAACCTGAAGGAGATTGAAGATGACTAAATAGTCGAACTGACTTGATGTGGTTTGTGAACCTTTTTGGCCGCTTTTCACTGTATAAAATGAATGCAACAATTGAGCCGAGTAAAAGAAACCATTTCAACTACCACGACAGCGTGTACTGACAAACACAATAAACAACACCAAAAGAACACAATAATAACATTCACAATTCAGTTTTGTATAGTTAAAACATTTACCTGTTTTTTTTTTATCGAAGAACTGACTCAACAGCAGAACCTCATTACCCCATTGCAGCTCTGCCCCATTGTTTATACCAGTGAAAATATCATGTGCAGAACATCAATTCGGCTTGTGTTGAATTTAACAGCACTTTTAAATTTTTAATAGAGCCATTCATTTGCAAATCATACTCTCAAGAGGCCAAAGAAATTAAACAAAAATTACATACCTCGGTTACCTCTGTGCACATTCAGCTTTTGATAGAATTTACATTTTTCTTTTTGCTTCAAACGAACAAAAGAGAATTGTGATTGAGTTGTAATCGATTAAGAAAACCACTCGCATTGAATTTTTCAACTAAGGCCTGGTTCACACTAGCGACATAACGACAAATTGACAAAACGGCTTGGTCGCTTATGTCGATCGATCGTCATGTGAACATCGACTTAAAGATCGACATAAGGAAAAGACCAGTTTTTTCCTTATGTCGTTATGTTCATACTGTCATGTTGCTATTGATCGCTATTATGTCAGGGTGTTCGCAAACATAACGATCGACAAAACTTCCTTCTTATGTCGTTAATTAAGGTCTGTTATATTTATGTCGCTAGTGTGAACTAGGCTTAATAAACAACCTAAGCAAACACCCTCAGATCTCACGTGCCAAAAATTTGCAGTCAAATAAGGCGTGCTTAAAAGCAGTAAGAAAGTGATAAGTAAATGACAACTCTTCCTTGAGCCCGTGAACGTGTTTCAGGGGGGCAAGACATGCGCTCGCCGAGCGCAGTCGCCGAGTTTGTTTTAGTCATCTCGATTCAATTAATAATGCAAGGGCGAATGGCCGAAACGGAACGAAGCTAAACGAAGCCGCCTGAAAAGACGCAAACATCTGTGGCGCGTTGTTCACCGTGTGAGTTAAACAAAAAACTGAACAGGACAGAGAACAAGCGAGACAAAATTTTCTTCCGAGGGCCGTTCCTCAAAGCCTCCGGACTGCGGGAATCTCTGGTGAGCTTATCGCAAGCACAAAACGCCATTAAAGTGCATGGGCTAGCGAGAAATCTGAGATGTTTACAAATTGATTAATAAATGAAGCCTTCTACGTTTTGTAAAACTGACGAAAGCAATTAACAAATTTAAAACATAAAAACAGTCAGATGAATATTCACAATTTTCTCTTTTTGATATCCGGCTCGCCGCATTTACTGAAGAAATAAGCAACTTTAAATTGAATTCATTACCATTAAATTCAGCTAAAGCGCTTGTAGTGGTCAGTGGAATCACTTACTTTTCTAAGTATTAAAGTACCTGTTGCCGTGTTGAGAAAAAAAAGTGACTTAGTAACGGATGTTACGTGTGGCTAGACTGCGCCTCAGATAGTAGAAGAAAACCATTTAACTAACCGTCAGCACTGTTCTCTTACAATGCTATGGCAGTCAGTTCCACCGTCGTATATATGTGAAAAAATATAACGAGTCGAGGTGATTGATATTTACTCTTTTCTTGCACACCCACTCGAATGACGAATCGCTCAACTATGAACTGAACAGGTAATTAAAGGTTACCGTTGACCTTCGCGGGTGGTTTGCGTATCTGAATTTAGTTCTCAACTGAACCAAGCGAAAGTGTATACTGTAAATGCAAGCTTATAGCACGGTATTATGCAATGATATTTTTGTTTTAATTTCATGTGCACCCGCATGTAGTCGTAATTACCGCTCGAAAACCTCCCAAAAATTTAGATGCCCTTCAGTGGACAAAGTTTAACATTTGAATGTCGAATTTCACTGCGAAAAAACCTCACAATCATGCGAGGCTTTTGCTTATTGTGATTACTTTATACATTCCCTGTCTGATTTTGGCTGCCAGAAATTAACATAATTCTATAAAACAACGGAAGGCACAGTGGAACAGAGCAGGTCGATCAAAATGGGCAAGGGATGAGCCCCGATCGAGGATGGCTGTATGTAGGAAGGCGGTTGTACAGCGTCAATACTCCAAAGACTCGGATCTTATAAATGTCAGTATCTCCTGTCCAAGTTCCCCCGCGCGATTAATCAACAACTGTCATTTTTCATTTACGTTTTACTGTAAATGGCGGGTAGGGTGCAGGCGGTGCGAACCCGTCCCCCCCTCCCCCACGAGATGAAACCTTCTTCATATTCGCTTTTAAAATTTGTTTACTTCACCAGTCAGTTACACCATTCCTTAGTGGAGCACCCGCTCCTAAGAAAAATCCTGGATCCGCCCCTGTAGTCAAGCGTAGTTATGCCTGACCAGGGTGTCGTAGTTGCCGATCAAATGCGGAATTATCTTTTTACTCAAAAGTCAGTGAAATCAACTTGTAAAATTTGAATTAGAGCACTAATAAATTTATCACGGTCCAAAACTGACTTGAAGACTGGCAAGAAATAATAATCATGAATAATAGTAAGTGAACCCCAGAACAATATGACATACAAAGTTGGATGCTATATTCAGCGCAATGTTACTGAGTGAAATCATAATTTATTAGAATAACTGCCCCTCTCCATTTCTCCCAGACGCGGTTTGGTAGGGAGAGACCAGAGCCTGGTTATTGACTCATCTCACGACAGAATAAAAAATTCATTTCATTTCATTTTGCGTGGGTATTCTATACCGATGTACCGTGGTGTGAATATAATTGCTAATATTTAAAAGTACCGTCCTTATTTCTTTTTTTTTTTTTAAGTGTATATTACGGAAGTAAAATTTGAATTAGAAAGCCGAACTAATCGGAATCAGCGCTAGCTTAATTTCATTTTATTAGTAGTTTTTTGTTTATATGCCAAGCTTTGTTTCTCATGTTTCTGGGCTATTCGAGTCAATTTTTGTCATTTTCTTTAATTATTTCTAATTCAATTCACTGCTCGATCAGACTGTAAGAGTCCAGTTATTCTCTGGACATTTTCAGCGTAAAAAATAAATATTTGCTTTTTTATCGGCTTATTTTCCATCATGGTTCTTTGCTTATAATTAGAATGAGGAAATTTAATTTTGTGAACAAAAAATGCTTGGGCAGCTGTTTAATTCGTTGCCTAGCAACATGGTTTGAAAGCGAGGCTCGAGTCATATTACACAATCGCGAGGCATGATGGGTATTGCGAAGCTTGGAATGAAAATGGCGGCTAGTGATGTTGTAGTGAATCATGAAAATGAAACAAGTGATAAAAAGACTAGTGATAGTTCCGTTAAAGTGATATGTCTAGGAGACAGTGCTGTAGGAAAATCCAAGTAAGTCAGTCTGTGTGATCTGCTATATTTCTTTGATTTGTTCGTGCTGCAGCGTTGGAACTGCGGCGTCAAACGAACCGGCTAATTTTGTGTATTTTTTCCGTAATAGATTAGTTGAAAGATTTCTCATGGACGGATAGTATCCTTTACGTTTTTCGTTGGGGTATACACTTCTAAGAATTTGCATCAATGCCATTTTGATGAAAATGTGGCAGAGATGTTTTGGTTTGTTTAAAAGGCTGCAGATCATTGGATATATACATGTATCGTACTGTTATTCGGAAGCTTGTCTGCTATACAAGCCTGTAAGATGTTATCCGGGCAAAAGCTTGTATCCGGCATGGGATTTTACTCAGTCTTAAGTGCTGTAGAAATTCTATGGGAGATCGCGATTCCTTTCCCATTTAGTCTCGGGCTTTCTATCCGAAGCTGTAACATCATGACGCTTCGATTTTAAAGATGTTCATTGCACTTAATTGCAATCAACATGCGTGACCCTTTTCGACACCTCTCGTCATTTACTTACTGTTCGAACAATATCACGAAATGTTGTTTTACATGTACTGTCTTAAGCCATAAGGTGTCTTATGCTTTCCATAGCATTTATTCATCAAGCGCATCGAGCGATTTTTGCCATCTTACGCGGTTTTAATCAACATTTTGTTCAACTGTATACTTAATCAAGTACATACAGGTGTATACATGGATCTTTTGGCTCTGAAAGGAACTTGTGTATTAATTTTTCACTTGGCTCTGCATTTCTGTTACTGTAATGGCCATGAATGTGAAGGATCTGGTAAAGGAAGAAAGAAAAAAAAGGATTGTAACTTCTTAGAAACCTGCATGGTCATATGTTAAAATTAACTTACTCAGAGATTCCATGGAGCTGTATTATTCTAGCTTATCTTGTAATTTAATGCATGGAGATTGCAGAAAGATGCTCAGAACTTTAGTTCATATACTGGCTGCTTCTGTTTTTGACATGATATTTGGAGCATCAAGGAAATCTGCAAGCTTTTCTCAGAAAATATCTTGACTTTTGTTTGCAAATAAATGTTTATTTGACAATCACAGATTGTTACAGATTGTTCTTGCCTCAGAAAAGCAGGGTTCATACAGAGTCTGGAATTCTTTAAAAAGTATGGAAATCATTAAACTAGTTTTCCAGGCTGAGAAAAAGTATTCAGTCAAGTCTCAAAAAAATTGAAAAGTCTGAAGCTTTTTCCAAGCAGCAAAAATTGCTTAATTGTTAAATGACTTCCTTGTTACATATAGTCAAATTTCATGTAAATTTGTGTCAGCCAAAATATTCCGTCTAATAATGTTGAGAACACGCTCTCCACCCAGTAATTCTTACATTACTGTTACATGTATGTGTCCGCATTTTCATTGCAGTGACTGTCGCTTCATAGGGCATCGTGGTTGCATTTTGGTTCTTCCTTTTGACAAGCTTTGTGTTAACCAAGAATTAACTTTCTCATCTTGTAAAAATTATGGAGAAATGACTTGACCTAGAATCTGGGAAAAAGAAAATACTGGTTTAAAAAAGTATTTAAATTGTTAAATTTTGTTATCAAAAATATACATGTACAAATTGTAAGAATCCTTGTAAAATCATCATCTTCTCTAGGACTATTGTTAACTATAAAAAGTATTTGTTTTGATTTGTAACTACCAATGTTGTTTGCAGTTCAGTACTAAGTCAGTTAAGAATTCAGGATAGTTTCCTTAATAATGTCCACAGTAAACCACAGCAACTCTCTACTTATGCACTGACACTCTTTCAGTACAAGACACATGTTGATGGAACAGATGTTCGAGTTGGTAAGTAGATCATACATGTATGTGCAATCATCAATAGGGAAAAGAAATTTTGTAAGCAAATATTGTACAAACGAATTCAACATTAACATATGGCAGACCAATAAAATCATGCAAAGGTTAAAAGCATCTCTTTGTGAAACAGTGTTATTGTGTGCATGCCCTAATGACAATCAGCAGGGTTTCTTATTACAATGAAAATGACCATAAGTACATATTGCTTTTGGGAGAAGTAAGTCTGTCTTCTGCATAACTCACGTTTTCCATCTCAAAACATGAGGCCTGTTTTCCATTGTTTGACAGCGTTTGAATCAGCTGCTGACTGAAGTCTTGTGTAGAGTGACTGATTGTACATGAAACAACTCCTGAAATAGAGCAATGTTAGAGTTTTCAATTGAGTTCAGAGCAGTCAAATGAAAACAAAAATAATCACTCTGGCTAATCACCAAGGAAACACAATCCAATGAACCAATCAAAACTCAAAGCAAATATATGAAGCTCAGGTGCAAAGCAAATTTAAACATGTACATCTATGCTTGATTAGTTTGTTTTTACGTCTTATTGGGTGATAGTGTCGCATTTTTCTACGCTACTGAATCATGTAGTAGTAATGCAAAACCAAGGCAAATGTGAATTACTTTGGATGATCAAGCAAAAAACTGTATACTCTAAAATCTGTATTGTACTGGTATATCTAGAGTACAATGTATGTAATGCACAATTGGCAATTGTTTCCCATGTTGATCACTTTGTTAATCCAGAGTAAGAGTACTAGAGTCCAAGCATGCCTAACCTGTCAAAATAATCCTTGTTTATTTTTTCCACAAATTTTAATTTTTGTGCACCTTTTAACCACATTAACTACGGCAGTTTGTTGCCAGGGTGAAAATCATAACACTGGGTATTAAATATATAACTTGAAAAGCAGCACCTGGTACATTTTTGAATAATTAATCACGTTTCATTTGATTATAATTTATATTCAATAGGTGAATGAATAATTTTAGCACACAATATGACTTCTCCATAAAAGATTTGCAAGTCGTCATGAAACAAACCTATGTGGTGGAAGTTGTGTGTGAAAATAACAGTTAACTATTTGACTATGCCTAAGAGTGATAAGAATCTAATTTCTCAATGCAATTTCATTAAATTGCCAAACATGCAGGAGGTGAGAATACACAAAATCACCCAACAAATGTCACAGACGAGTGAATCAGTAATAAAAGAGACTTCAGGGAATAATAAGTACTTTAAGTTAAAGATATGGGGAGAGAGCTTGCTCACCCATATCCATCATTCACCATGTTTAACTTCTTGTTTAGGAGAATTACACTACATACATGTATTGCTGAGGAAACATGAAATTGTTTAATTAAACTTATATACATGTATATTTTAAAATTTTGTACATGCAAATGCTAAATTGAAATATTTCATTGCTAACAGAGCAAAAAAATAAAAAGAATAAAAGCAAAAGATTTTAGAATCTTTGTCAATTAAGAGACTGCCAACAACAGATGTTATTAAAGAAAACACAGCATCCTTATCTCCATGGCTTGCTCGCCCAGATACATAAATTAACATAAGTGTCTTGACTTCAAAAGAACGACATAAGTGTTGCTTATCTTTCCAGCTGCTCTATAAAATTTTCAAAATATTATTTATGTCAGACAGTGGGATGCAAATTAAAGTAGAGCTCCGCAAATTACAGTGTACAATGCATGATTGAAAACCCTTCACTGATTGGTGTTTAACAAATTTTAGAAAACATACATTGTGGTCATCAGTATAGTTATCATATTAGAAAACATATACATTGAACCCATGGAGAATACATATAATTCTTTTATTCTACAAAGCAGCATATGGTTACTATTGCAATGATCATATACAAATTTTATATACATGTAACATCAAACTGTTGATTTCAGTTTGTAACCATAAACTTGAAGTCCAATTTTTTCTCGTTTTAACTAGTTTCATGAGGTACAAACAATCTATGGTCAACTGCAAGTGACAAAATCAAAATATGTAAATGTAAATAGTTCAGTCAGGTTTGTTTTTTTTAATTTGTTCATATGTAGGTACACTGTACCTTATAACAGTTACTTGTGTTACAGGTGTTATTCAATATAATTTTTAACTGTTGCTGGAATAACTAGCTGTTGTATGTAAAAAGATATTAATAATTTTCTCTCCAGTTCGAGCCTTTCAAAAGTTATATATTACTGATCCTACATTTCTATTTCATTTCTTCATGAGGAGGTTATTTTATGGATCACAGTACTGTTGTTTGAAATTTACATACATATATAGATGTATTTTGTACACATTAGAGACATTTTCTCCAGCTTTGACTGCATGCTTAAAATGAAAATAATAACTAAAAATAGTCATGAGAAAATAATAATATTGCAATGAATTTATATTATTTTTTCCTTCTTTTCTTCCTCCCTCCCCTTCCATGATCATTTTTCCAATATTATTGTTTAATTTGTTTCAGACTTCTGGGATACTGCAGGTCAAGAAAGATTTAGCAGCATGCATCCATCATATTACCATCAGGCACATTCTTGTTTACTAGTAAGTACTCTTTAAGCATTATTACATATAATTGTATATATCAAATATTATTTACATGTAATGATATTTGTACATGTATGATTTGACCATTGTACTGTAGTTGTAATGGCAATTTGGCAAACTGCAAGTTAAACCTGAAAAATTATTTCACAGCTTCAGAAAAGGTGCATTCTGGTGCATATCTAGCACCCAAAAGAGATTTTGCAGGAGGCCTGGACTGGACACTTTATTTTAACAACAGTTTATTCAACTCATTGCAAGATGAGTTTCTTTAGAAGTTCATCCATAAAATGATACATTATGCTTCTCATTTCATTGGTACTTGTTACATTGCAGTACATGTACTTACCTTACAGAGATCAAATCATTATTACCCTGGTGGGACAAAATTGCTTAGTTACAGGGTGTAGTTACATGTGTTTAAAATGAACTTTAGAATACAAAAAGTACCTGCCCGAAATGTGTGAACTAGCTCATGACTTGTGTTGGACAGTCACTTATTTTAAAACCCTGTTCATGTGGTACTTGTTATTTTGAATTATTTGCATGGTGTGAAGAAAAACATGACTGACATTGCTCAGCCGTAGTGACTTGTTGAATTAATAAATATCGTCGCATTTTCAGGTATTTGACATCACAAGAAAAGGGACGTACAAAAATTTGGCTAAATGGTATAAAGAACTTAGAGATTACAGAGAAAACATCCCTTGTATAGTTATAGCAAACAAAATTGATGGTATCCTTTTGTGAATTTTTGTGAATAATATTGTAATCTGCATTGTTCTGTCAGTCTTGGTGCCTTCCCAAAGGATACATGTACATGCACAATTATTAACTGTTTGCAAGATTCTTCTGAAAATGCATTTTGTTTCGATTGCAGTGGACTGTAAGATACTCTCTTCAGCATTATATATTGTACACTTGTATACAAAAAATGCACAATTTACATTGTGAACAAGTATAATCAATGAAAGCTGGACATTGCAAACCAGCTCCACTAGGCCAAACTGTAGGTTCCTTTGCACTGTTAATACAGGTTGCCTCAGGGTACACTGTAAGTACACTGGACTCCAGAGGCCTGTTTCTCGAAAGTCCCAGAAACGTTTTGGGCCCATAAAGCCTTTTTAGTTCATCTGTATCTAAAAATGGAGAAGCATATATGCCTGAAACTTCTTGTATGAAGGGAACCTCTGTTCATATTAAGAATATGTGAATAAAACAGCTCTGTAATCATAAGGTTTGAGATTTTGCTATGGCTTTCTGGGTGCTAAAACTTTTCGGAACCTTCGAGAGATGGACTCAAGGTTTGAGCCCTTGTTAGGGGCCCCGTGTGCCTCTCTTATCCCAGGTGTATAAATGGGCACTAACAAATTTATTGCTGTGAGTAACCCTGCAATGGACTAGCATTCCATCCAGGGAGGAGTAGCTTCATTCTACAGAAACCAGAGGTACAGTACACGTACATTGTATATTAAGCACCGTTCTTGTGGGCCACTATACAACTGTAGACTCAGATTTAGGCAGAGTTTGGTTTGCCATAATGTAGCTGCCATAAATATTTATAATGGTCCTACTTGATTTTAAAATTATGACTCCAAAATTTGAACTATGTGAAACAAATTCTGGAAAAATGAAGATACAAACAATTTAAAAAAATATCAGGTTTATTGTTGATAATCATTTTTACCTTGACTTCTTTGTTTATAAAAATCAAAGTCGACTACAATATTACACAGAAAAGTTTTAATTTTCCCAAAAAACATGGGCTTCCATTTTATTTCGTGTCAGCATCTGATGGAACAAATGTTGTTAAGGTAAGTAAATACATGTGTAAGTAAATAAGATTTGGTTGTTTCAAGTTTATTTTACTTCACTGCTCAGAATGCAGGTTTAGGTTCTGATGGTTTCTGTGGGATGAGCGGGGTGGGAGTGCTTTTCAGCAGGCTTTGAGTCTTGGAGAAGGGGTTGACTTCCTATCTAGAGACCACTATACTGGTTAGAAAAGCAAAATAAAAGTGATATAAAGCATCAAAAATGTTGTAAATTCTTATAGTTACAGTACATGCTTCTTAGTAAGGGTTTATGGTATTTGTTGGTCAATCCAAAAGTTAAGTTTCCACCTGCCGTTTGCAAGCCTCTTACGTACACTGTACATGTTATTTTGGCTTGTCACTCACTCCTCCCGTACCAAGTGGAGTGGGTTGCTTGACAAGCCAGCAGAATGCATGTGTAGAAGGCTAACCTGTCCAGTGCAAACAAAAGAACTCCCATGATATGCTCTAAAGTTTTTTGATTTTCACAAATTGATTTTGGACTTTCATGTATTTTTTCCCAAGGCTTTTCGAGAAGCAATAAAACTGGCTGTGAAGTATAAAGAAAACTCCACAGATTTTATGGATGAAGTTTTACGTGAACTTGAGGTAGTGGCAGATGTAATGTGCAGTTTAATGCAGTTTTGTTAGAATAATCAGTAAAAGTACATGTACTGTATCTGCTCTGTCGTGTAGTGGCAGAAAGAAGAGAGAAGGAAAAACTGTCAATTATATGGATGTACATTGTGGATGGGGTATGAAAAAGACAGAGAGTCAGAGAGGCGAAATTCAGCATTCAGTTATGAGAAATTACACTCTTAGACAAGAAGCTTGAAAAAAATTAAACATGTGTTTTTTAGTATTTTGATCGAACACGTACATACACTGTACATGTACATATCATAGAATATCAGAGAAGATTTAGCCTTAAGCCTTAAGTTGTCTCATAACCTTTTCGCTGGGAGTTAAGAGGAAGTTAGGACCAACTTTAGACCAACGGGGAAGGCTGAGCTGTCAAGTTTAATAATAATACCTGTACAATTTTTGAATTCTAGAATTTTGATGACATGAACCTCAATCAAGATGGCTATGATTCATCAGATAAGAAAAGCAGCGAGGACGAGGGAAAAACATGATATCAACTGTGTTGTGACTTCGTTGGATGAAACATGCAACGCTATTTATGTCAGTGGACAGAATATTTCAACGCAGAGTAATTTATTCTCCCTATTAGAGTTAAAATTATTAGCTATAAATATTTAAGAGATTTACATTGAAATGAATGTATTGACTGTTATCTACCTAGCAGTCCTTGGTGACATCAGATCATATCAGAAATATCCACCCCTTTGCTGGAGAATAAACCATAACCATCGACACAGCAAAGTAATAAGCGAATTATCTCATTCCACCAAACCTTTTCACGGCAAAAGGTATTCCTCGCCAAACTTCGGCCAGGACAAAATAATGTTTGAGTTTTAAATTGTACAGGATATATAACCAAGTTTCAATTTCATTTGTTGTAAATTACGTGCAATGTTATATACGATATATCAATTATGTCACATGCAGGGAATTAGGGACGCGTGCCTTCATGATAGCATCAAACTTTAAAATTCAAACTGTGCTTAATCTATAAAACTGTCTTTTTCACTTAATTTGAATTTTAAAAAATGTTTATCTTAATGCAATTTTCTAGTTATTAAAACTATTCTTCACTTTAAACATATAACAAATTTTAAGTTCTTAAAGGTCGTGATATGATTATTTCGTGTACAATATTACGTAATTAGATTGGCTTTTTCGTACAGTGTAAAATGTACTCTACCAATTGCTGTAAACATTTTTTCTGGCAACACTACAATCTTAAGTTATGAAAAATTGTCTCTGAAAATTAGAGTTAAAATAAGTTAATTTAAAAGGCAGTTTCATAGAATCCCAATTTGAGTTTTAGAATTTTATGGCGCCATGATCACGTAAACTATGTTTCGACTTCCAAACCTTGCGTACTCTTTAGTGGTGAACCGTTAACTTTCTCCTACAACAGTGTATGTTTGTCGTATAGAATGTAACTAGGATGGTGATGAGAACTTCGAGGTTGATCATTTAGGAGAAAATTATTCTACTTAACAGAAACTTAAGTCAAGAAAAACGTATTACATGTAAATACAGTATGGACGATTTCAGGTACGATTCTGTAAGATGTATTCAAACCTTTGTATGAAAATGAGGTTTGGATTGACTACGAGACGATACAGATCAAAACTGGTTTGAAAACAAAAGATCGCAATTGAAAAGAGGGAAGGTATGTTAACAACAAAGTCAACTCTAGCCTCGCCTCTGCTCAGAGGCTTGAATTGAATGGGCTACAGTGAAGTAGAAGAGTTTCCGGTGAATGTACTCGTTTGAAGTATCTTCCTGTAGAATTGTTTTCTATTTGCGTCGTTGCTATTGTTGTTGTAGTGTTTTCAAGCTAGTCAAGAACAAAATCAACATTGCACTTTTATACTCTGGGTTGTCGTTAGCTCGCTGTGATCCACTCCATTTTTGTTGTTTGTTGTGATTCATCGGCGAAATGTGATTAGTTTGGGTTTGGGTTCCAGGCAGTCACTAGATACTCACTTCATCACAGAACAAGCGAACAAGCTTGTAGCCAACACAACTCTAAATTGAGTAACTGTCACTGAAAAGAATCAGCTTTGTAGGTAATTTTTGAGTATTACTGTATGTGGAGACTGGAGGAGTGAAAATTTTCCTTCTTATTGAGTCCATGTCGACTTCAAGTGAAGGTAATTCATTTAAAAATTGCTGGAAGTAAATCAACGAATTTATAACTGGGTATTTGTTTTCTAGTGTACAAGGAGCCTTGTTATCGGTAATCTTCAGCTGTAGTATTTGTAAGTTGCCTTTTGCTTCTTGTTTTTTTGTTAGTAGCTTTTTTTGCCTTATGTCTGCCAGTACATGATGTCCTCTTTTCTTGTAAAAATAGTTGTTGTTTTATTAAACCCTATTAGCACGTCAAAGTTTAACCCTTTTCACGGCCGGAGTGCGAATGTCCGTTACGGAGGTAACAGATAAGTGATTGATCACCAACAAGGTGATTTAGATTAAAACGTACTAGAGGAGGTAGTTTTCTTTACTTTAGTTGTTTAGTATCAATTGCCTTTGTATGATTAGCAGTTTGTTCAAGGGAATCTTGCAGCACGCTCTTAAAAAATCAGAGCGAGTAATCCTTTTTGGCCAATGAGATGAGACCGACTTTCTTCGCGTTTAGCATTAGTTGCTAGCAGTTGCATGTTTCTATTTTATAGAACTCTAATTGTTGCCTAGGAAATCGTGGTGGAGTCTCTTGGTTAACTCTTTGTAGCACTGATCCTTCGTAGCCGTTACTTGGGTCCTCAAAATGCTTCACGGAGCTGTATACCATTTTAGAACGGAGCTCTCTCCTAACTGGTTAACACGGTGTTAAAATTTCTCCCTAGACGGGGTTTACAACCTTAGGTCTGAAACAAAATCTCCTTTCTTTTTCGAATGTCTTTGTTGTTGCCTTCTCCACCATCAGACAACTTATTAGCGAAAAAATTAGCGACAAACTTCCTGATACAAAATTAGTTTTCAGTGCGCGTCAAATTGAAGGATCTTTTTTTCCTGCTAAGGATCCCGGTTTCTCTGCGGGACCAACCAAGTAATGGCTGCGGAGGTAATGAATCTCAACAACGTTTTAAAAGTTTGGTTTGAAGTGGAATGAAGCAAACGGTAGCGCTGGAGCGCTTTGTGAGACTTACACTTCAAGCGATAGAATATGGAAACACTTTCCTCTTTTTCTTGTTGCACGCTTACAGCCAGCTTTGTCGGATAAACCGCTTGAAAACTGCCTTATCGTTTTACGTTTTGTTCCCGGTGATGAACTGCTAGTCTTACTGGTAGTTATTACAAGCATTTTCTAATGCTCTGTTGTACTGTATATGTTAACGAAAATCTGCATTTTCCACCGTAGTTCTAGCGTATAGATGTGTAAAAAGCCAAAAATCTGAATGACAAATCAGAGTGTACAATGTAAATGTCTGTAATAAATTGTAAGTACAAAACGATGTAAAATAAAATAGGTTACTCTCCGGAAAGAAGGAACTTGATGAAATTGTTTTGTTTCGCTTGAAGTCTCTAGGCATTCACTATTGATTCGTTGTCAATGAGCGTAAAGCCTGAGGTGAGTGTGTTTGTTCAAGGAAAAACCCCTTTTACACCGCCTGAGTTGGTATCCCAGTGTTTCCACTTCAGCAAAAAGTAACACAGAGACTAATTGGGGTGCGTTTCTTTAAGGGAAACCAAGATTAGATTCTTAAATCAGAAAACGGATTTCGCGTTTCTTCTCTAAACAGATTAATCCAAGACCTCTCGGATCATGATGCGTCAAAGCAACCGAAAAATCCACTCTGGGCAAGGATTCTTCGCTTCCTTTGATGCACCATGATCCGAGTGATCTTGGATTGATCTGAAATCCGTTTTCGGATTTAAGAATCCAATCTTGGATTTTCTTAAAGAAACGCACCCTTAAGTTAAAAGCTATTTCAAAATTGTTTAACAGCAAGATTCGAAAATGATTCCCATCTGACACTCCCATTTACCCTGGGCATAAAAATTAAGGCGGAAACTCCAGATGTTCGGTTTCAATTTGTTTTCCATGTTTTTTATGCGTTGATGGTGGTCTTATCATAAAAAAACAGGTATATCCATTTGAAACTTCCGTAGATTTTTGTCAATGCTTTCTTTTATTTTTTTTTTCTGTAAGGCAGAATGACATTTTGCAATATTGCTGAAGAACTATAAATCATTACAATAAATGAGCGTCTTCGGCTCCTCGCCCCAGAGCCATTAGACCCTCTTAGCCAGCAGGGCCCTGGCACGAGGAAAAGGTGGTTCTGGAGACATGATTTGATTCCTGAACTAAGATTTTCACTTAAAATATTCACTGGATGATCATTACCTAAAACCGTTCGATTATATCATCTACGGACCTTCAGGAAGTTTAAAACAGGCTTTAAGGAACTCAGTCACGGTTTGCACATTTTGAAAAGTTTAGCCTAAATTTTTCAAATTCGTCGTTTGCAATCCGTGTCAATCTTTGCAACCCTTGAAGACTCCTTGACCATCCTTGTTCCTTTATGGTTTATTATTATCTCTTAAGCTTTGATGTTTTTCTATCTTAGTAAACTATTATTTTCAGGTTTCCTTCCATTTTATAAGAGATTTTGTACGTGACCAAAAAGAAGACAAAACACCGTGACTGAGCTCCTTTAACAGGGCCGGAGAATTTTCAGTCTCGTCCTTCGTAGCGAAACATATGAGTTCCACTTACGGTCAGAATTCCACCCCTGCTTTAAATTCCCTCTGATAATCTGTTAATAAAACGCCTGTAAGATTTGTAAGTGCTCTATTAGGACCAGTTTAGTTTAATATAGATCAACTGGTGGATATTGCGAGCGATGAAAACAGCGTTGAATTAGTTAAAATCTAAGTCCATGTTTCTGGACAGGCGGATCTGGAAAGGAGAATACTTCCCGTCCATTAAAAAAAAAAAAAATACTCATTGCAATAATTGGGCTCTGGTCTCAATATTAAATTGCCCTTTAAAAATAAGCGCTATTGCCGAGGCACAAAAGATGCCAGCATCATTCCGTAGTAGCTAGGATGGAAGTTCACGAGAAGTCGAGATTCCCAATTAACAGAGCTTGCTTTTAACATGCCGTCCAGCATAACCAGCCCTGTAAATCCACAAGAAAGAGCCTTGTCAACATACGACGCTGCTTCAACTATCAGCTTGCCTGAATCCTGACTCGCCGCCCACGCACCGCAGGCTTTATCAAAAGGTCCCGCTGCTGTAGAGAAGCCGTATGGCCCTGACTTCAAGTGAGTGTGCGCTAAATCGGCACTTATGATAACCACAATCCTCTTGGACTGTGAGTGGAGAATCCGAAACAAGTTCTTCCCAAGATGACGCAGTTCAGGAATCATCTCCACGCTGTCCGTGTATCTGCGGCTTGGCTGGGACAGAACGATGACTTTACTCCGGCTTAAAATATTCTTTGTAAAATATAGCGGAACGATCTCGCCCCAGCGTAAAGGGAAAGGTGTATCCTCGTTGCCAGGAGGTCCAAACGCGCTCAAATACGAAACGTTCTCCTTCTCAGCTTTAAGGGTGCTAAAGAGCGTCTTAGTGCCATTAGTATCCATGGCAACTGACAAGTTGTAACAACATGGTGGACAAGCACAGTTGTCTGTATCAGCGAAGCCTGATCCTTTAGGACTAAAGTAAAAAATGAAATCTTCAGGAGCCGCGATCCCATGTGGAGTACTCAGGACAATTGTATCTGGATTAAGATCCTCAATCTGTCTTCCTACTTGTTCTGCGGCGGCGTGTACTAACCAGGCTTGGGCTTTGGCTGTAGCGTTGGTTGTGTTGAAATAGCGAGGGTCCAAAGCGATTCCTCCTGATTTGAAATTTGACAAAAAAAAATAATCATCATGAATAACGACACTGTATTATTTTAATAATAATGATAACGACACTGTATTATTGTATTCACCGCTTTATTCAGATTTTTACAGTTGGTGTGATATCTTATGATTTTAGCTGACCTAAGTGCAGATGTAAATGTAGACAAAAATTTCTTCCAAAGGGAGTTTTGGGGATTGCAAGTACAACATAGTCTATCGCCTCAGTCGTTTCCAGTTTCCAAAAGCGGGAGTCTAACGCTGTTGAAATAGGTAAAGGACTGATTCACCGGCTTGGTTGCAAGGTGTGATGCCCACTCGTGCAGTCTCGAGTGCTTCAAGCCTCCCGTGGGGCCTCAGGCTAGCCTCCCACGCAGGCTCTCTCTGGGTGCGTCACGCAATCTTTTCTCCCCCACAAGATGCGTGACGAGTTCAAAGCACTGCGTAAGAGGCGAGCCTGCAATGCTCTATGCTCTCGAGCGCCGTGAAGATGAAGGACCTGGAATTAAAGCGAAGTTGTATTGTTGGGTAGTTCTGAGGAACTGGCTGTTCTGGCGGTTGTTTCGTTACTGACTCGAAGCCATGGTAACAACACGACATCTTACGCGACCCTCACTTGACCGCAAGACAAGACGTTTGCGGAAACCGTAGTTGGGTCCATTTACTTTTCTAGCCACTGATGTGTGTATCGCTATTCAAGACTTCTGGTAGTAACCATTCATTTTGCCCAACTCGCGCTCCCAGCAGTGTTCGAGTCGAAAGACTCCCTCCACCCCGCTCCACCACTCTCCTCTCCCGCCGAGTCTCAAGAGTTATCTCGCAAGTTTTTGAGTCGTCAAGATTTGTTACACGAACCTCGTTCAACATCCCCTGAAATGAAAATGTCTTGCAACGTTTTCCTAGCAGTAAGCACTGCGAAAACGTAGATATGGATTCTACTTTGTGCGACGCTTACTAAGACAAAAACATTGATCGAGGAACATTTCAAGACAAGCTTATGTTTATAATCGAGGCAAATTGTCACGCAACTAGTATCGCAACAAAAGCAAGAAAAATTACACAGTGTAAACAGCCTCGTCAGTCACAAACAAGATTTTCAACACGATCTTGAGCTAGGATAATTTCTATGCATGCTCATCAGTACAGGAAAAATGTTATTGCTTACCGTGTGGCATAACAAAGGCTCCGACTAACTTGCTCTCCGCTTGGAAAGCAAAGAATGATTTTATGACAAAGATTACCATCATTGTAACCAACATCATGCTGGATACTTCTCTCAAGCCACAAGGTTATGCTTAGGACAAACCAAATGCCTAAAACCAAAACTGAAATCGGCTACAATTCAACAACTGTACAACTGGCTTTCACCATTCGGCGCTTGAAGATGCTTACTGTCCTACCGGACTATCAGCACAGTCGAACATGACACGTGGTTGCTATGAGTGACATGACGAATAGTTGAGGAGTGGGGTAGGGAATATATTGTTCACTGTGGTCGTACGCGAGCCATGAGCCAATAAGACTCCTATCCTACTATTTCCTCTGTTTCTTGCACGATGCCACCCTAACTGAAAAACAATTACTGCTCAGAAAAACTGCTCAACCACCACCAGCCCCCTTCCCCTCAAAACATAATGAGTCCTTTAGAAGACTGTAAAGTAGGTACAGGTACCGTGAAACCTGTATTAAGCGGACCCCATATTAAGCGGACACCATCCGTTAAGTGGACACCAGCTGAAGTCCCAAAATTTTCTTCCCACATTTACTGTAAAATAAACCTGCATTCAGCGAACACCTCTGTTAAGCGGACGCGGACGCCAATATTAAGCCATTTTGTTGCACAAAACCTGCGATAAGCGGACACTTCAAGGGCTTTTTACTTCTAAAAGTTCAACTGAGACTCCTTTAACACTGTTCAGCGGTGTCATTTTAAGGCTAAGATTATACCAGATTGATGCTTTGATTGTCTGGACATTGTGCTATAAGCAGTCTTTGATATCACACTGTGTTACATTGTGTTGCAAAAGAGTTAGTAATAAACAATTATTGGATGAGGTTTTCGTGATATCCAGAGTAATCAAGGTCGAGGTAGGGGTTATCAGCGGAAGCCGAAGGCTCAGGCTGATAAACCTTACCGAGACCTTGATTATTCTAGATATCACAAAAACCGAATCTAATCATTGTTTTATCATACATTGAACGAAAAAAAAATGGAAGTCATGTTTTTGCTTCTTCACTGACAGCATGCAAGCAACACAAAGTAAACAAAGCGCTCGAACTTGACATGATTACCCTTAGAAATCATGCACCGCGGCCATATATGACATGATTACCCGTGACCTTGAGTGTCCTTGACATGATTGCCAATCAGAGAAGAGAAAGTGATTTCAATGGACACCCTATATTAAGCGGACACTAATGAGGGTCCCAAGGGTGTCCGCTTAATATAGGTTTCACTGTATTCACTTTTCAGTCGTCGGCCAAGTGACGTATGAATACCAAATTTAACTTTATTTGAAATCGTTGACTTGTGCACTCACGAATCATGGCGAGCGACACTGACCGACAGAAAAAGCAATCCCAGGATCAGAAAAAGGTGTTAACCAACATATTCTGTGCTTGTGTTCTGTTGTTCTGTGTTGGAGTAATCGCTGCATATTACCCGTTCCCAAAACCGCGCCTTCCGACTTTGCTCGACAGACTTGTGTTCACGCTTCGATGGTTGATAGTTTCGCTGTTCACGGTCTTCGCTGGGGTCATCTGGGTTGGAAACATGCGATACAGCACCTCTGCTATCAATCCATTGGACCCAAGCGGCAAGAAGTACGTAGAAATGCGTTCGAGGTATCTACAGAATACCGTTGAACAATTCCTGCTTCACTCGTTCAGTCTTGTCGCCTTGTCCACTTATCTTTCTGAGGAGAACATGCACTTGGTTCCTCTGCTGGTAGTGTTGTTCAGCATCGCTCGACTTCTGTTCGCAGTAGGTTACTCCATTGATCCTCTTAAGAGAGGCTTCGGGTTTGCCATGACATCTTACCCAACATTCATGGTCATTACATATTGTTTGTATTGCCTGTTTATGCACGGATTGGAAGCATATCACTGAAAACTAATGTACGTGTATGATGCCCCGTTGTAGACAAAGGAAATTCGTGCATCACAAAGCGAGCCTCGAAAAAGACAGCTGAAAAGAAACAAGTAACAAATACAGAATACAGAATTAAAAATACATGTATCTAGCGTTGTTTGAACGTGGATATTGTTATTTGCACATTGATTTGCATGTTCCGTCGCGTGTAACAAAGAATTAGAATTCATTATCGTCCGTAATAGCCCTTTTCACGGTTAACTTTGCTTACTTGCATTACAACAAAATCTAGCATGTATGTGAGGCAATTTCGGGCTACTTATTTTGTTGTTTTACATGTAGCCCGAAATTGCCTCGCGTTCGCGTTGGATTACATTGTAATGCAAATGAGAAAAAGGGCTATTGCGAGATCGTCTCACTACGCGAGGCGGGAAAAATAGGTCATGTGACTTAAGTTTTAAAAGGAACAATTTATCATGAACGATATTCGAGGCCAAGTCCCTGGGTAGGCTAGCATTTTTTGGAGCATTTTAGTGAGGCAAAAGCATTAAGCATTCTTCAAGCATTTTAGTGGCTTTTTCTAGGAAAATTAATTTTTTTCCACAGAAAACAGAAATAATTTTTTTTTTTAATGAGGAAATGAAGTCGTAATGCGAAATTGAAAAAAATTCAAATGCCACCCTAATACAGCCGAGTGGAAACTGAGGAGAAGTCAGCGGCAGTGAAAGCAAATTAAAGGCGGTCATGTTTGTTTAGCCACCTTTGTGAGAAACCCTATGTATGCTCGAGTATTGCTGGTTTTCAGTGTCACGCAATTCAAAATAGATCAAAATAAAAATCAAAACCGGTCAATAGATAAAGTCCAGAATCTGGGAAATGAAAGAAGGTAAATATGCAAAG